CTATTTTGGCAAGTTATTGAGTTTTCCCAGGAAATTGTTCCTTTCTGTTCCTTTCTCTCCCATGTATATAGGAGGTATACATGTTATTAAATTTTGTTCTTCTGTTAATCTATCTTTTATTACAAAGATGTCTCAGCAAAAAACCCAGAAGGGCTAGAGGAAAAATTATTTTTCCTCTCCTGTAGAGCAATAGGATATACCATATAACCTAGATGTATAGCGGGCTATACCATCTAGGCTTGTGTAAGTGTATCTATGATGTTTATATGAACACATCGCCTAAATATTTCTCAAAATTTATCCCCATCAGTCAGTGGTGTGCAACTGTAGTTGTTTGGGGCATTTATCTTGCATGTTGTTCTCTGAGCTTCCTGGATCTGTGGCTTAGTGTCTGACATTAACTTGGGGAAAATTCTCAGTCATTATTGTTTCAAATATTTCCTTCTGTTCTTTCTTTCTTCTCCTGGTAATCTCATTACTCATGTTAGACCTTTTGTAGTTTCACAGACCTTGGATATTCCGTTCTGGTATTTTAAGTCTTTGTTCTCTTTGTTTTTTGCTTTTCAAGGATTCTTTTGACGTATTCTTTAGCTCAAAGATTTTTTTTTTTGTCACCTGTGTCTAGTCTACTAGTAAGCCCATCATTTCCGTTAGTGTTTTCTTTTTTTAATATCTAGCTTTTTTGGTTCTTTCATAGATTTCTATCTCTCTGCTACATTGCCCGTCTGTTCTTTTATGCTGTCTACATTTTCAATTAGAGCCCTTAGCATATTAATTGTAGTTCTTTTAAATTCCTGGTCCGATAACTCAAACATCCCTGCCATGTCTGGTTCTGATACTTTGTCTCTTCAAATTGTGTTTTTGCTTTTTGGTATGCCTTGTAATTTTTTTCTTGGTAGCTATACATGATGTACAGGGTGAAAGGAAGAGTTGTAAAAGGGCTTTAGTAATGTGGTAGTGGGGTATAGGGGCAGAGGCGGTGTTCTCTAGGCCTGTGATTAGGTCTCCAGGCTTTCAGTGAGTCTGGTCTTTCAACTTCTCAAGTGTTTTTTAGTTTCTTCTTCTTGCCTTAGATGAGACAGGATGGCTAGAGGCGGCTAGAGTTGGGTACTTCCTTTTCCCCAGGTCAGTTAGGCTCTGAGCTTAACCTGAGCAGATTAACCTCTGATTAATTAGTTTCCCCTGAGGGCACGCCTTGTTACGAAGATCAGAATGCTGGGACATAATTAAAAGTGTTTCCTTTCCCTCCATGCTGGAAGCAGGAAGGGATTTTTCTTTGATATTTACTGTGGGAACCTGATTGAGTTCCTGGAGGTAAATCTGATATTGTGAGCCCCTCTCTGACTGGATCCTCCAGGAGTTTTTAACTCTTAAGAGTTGTTTGCTATGAGCCTCCAGTGGATTGTCAATTATGGTTCAGGCTTTTCTGTCCTGGCTCTAATTTCTGAGGAGGTTTCTGCTGGTGAGTCTTTCTTTTTTCAGGTAAGCCAGAGCTCCCTGTATTTGTTTCTCCAGTCTTGGGGGCATTGGTTTGCTCTGTATCCTCCCCTATCTTTTGGATCCAAGAAGAGTTTCTGATTTTTCAGTCTGTTCAGCTTTTTACTTATTAGGATGGACTGGTGATTTTCAAGCCCATTACATGGGAAACTTGGAACTGGAAGTGTTGTGGAAAAGTTGCAAAAGTCAGACCTGCAAGAAACCAAGCCGCACTCAGAGAGTTGGAGAACTGCAGTCCCACAGTTGCTAGGCTGGGCTGGAAGATCTGGGCCAGGAGCTCAGTTGCAACGTTCCTTATATAGAACTCATTTAGCATGGGCTGATTGGTTAATTTGTCCTCAGATGTTTACAAAGTGTGGGAATTGCTATGGGTTGCAGGCAGTTAGAAAGAGTTACAAAGTGTGGGAGTTGTTAAAGGGTACAGGAAGTTACATTTGTTGCTCGGACAGAACAAGCAAAAGGGAAGAAGAGTCTTTAGTTAATTTTGAGTACAGCCTATGCAGTAAGCATATCTACAGAAGCAGAACAAAGAGTTAATTAGCTTTTTGAGTAAAAATTCCTCTTCAGAAGTCCCCATATAAGATATTTAAAACATTTATACAATTTAAAAGTAGTAATATAACAAATACCTGAGCTCCTGCCTCTGATTTTCTCACCTTGTTTTGTCTTCTTGCTCTACTTTTAGGAAAATTTCCTTAATGTTTTCTTCTTCTAACCTATTTTTTAAATTTATGCTCTGCTATTTTGAATTTTCAGAAGCTCCTTTTCCACCTCTGAATATTATTGTTCTTCAGGGTGCAATATTTTGTTTTATCTCTGAAGACATTAATTTTATACACACACACACACATTAATATATATATTAACTTTTCCTTGAAAAATGTCTTAATTTTTTCCCTCCTAATTTGTTTTATTTTTATTTACTTATTTATTTGTTTATTTTAACTTTTTTTTTTTTTAGGCGAGGCAACCCTTGGTTGACTTCACAGATTACAAGGATCTTGTCAGCTTATAATCCTTTATTTTTTATTTTTTACGCCTACAGCACCTCGTCTTCCTTGGTGGTCTACCATCCAAGTACTAACCAGGCCCAACCCTGCTTAGCTTCCAAGATCAGATAGGATTGGGCTTGTTCAGGATGGCATGGCCGTAGACCCCTAGTTTGTTTTAGAGTGTGGTTTTCATATTAGATTCTTTCTTTGGATATTTGATGATTGTTGTGTGCTCGTAATTATGGACAGCGAGCCTCAACAATGAGCGAGTCACTACCTTGGACTGCTTCCTTTTGGTAGGTAGTGGGGATGGGGCGTGGTTCTCAGATTCCCCAAAGAGAAGACTCAGCCAGTCTTCTGTCTAAAGAGTATATACGTGATATCACAGGGGGAGCCAAACAGGGGAAGAAGGCTGGAGGTCTTAAAAGTCAGTGTGTAAAATTTTTCTACTAATTTCCTTTCCCCCAATAACTTCTCATTATATATTGCTGTCTTCATCTCTGCCTGGTGTTCTGCAGTCTAGAGACTTTCAGTTTTATATTGTCCAGGTATAAACATCCAGCCTTTTCCTGTAGTGTGGGGGATGGGTGTTGCTTCTCTGCATAGAGCTGGGGAAAGGATATAAATTCTGCTTCCAAATTGACTTTAAAATAATCCTTTCAGTACTACCTTCAATGCTACTTTGAAAGTTATCTGGTATTGCTAAGTACTCAGCCTTTTGGGAATCTGATATAAATTGATTTACTTCTGGGCTCTCCTGCTTGCTAAGGATTCTATCTTCTTGGGTCTACTAGGTCAAATACCACTTATATCAACTTTCTAGCTCCTGAATTTTTAAGGCTGTTGACTGCTGTGCTTCTTGCCTTTTTGAGTTTAGGCTCTTTTCTCTTTCCCATTCTCTCTCTTGTTTCAAAATAACCATATGGTATCAAACTAACAATATGATTGCTGAAAAAAAAAACCATTTAAAACCTTTTTGTGGGTCTTTTTGTCCATAGGAATGTCCAAATTATCCAGTTTCAGAGTCTCTGGAAATAATTCACTTTTGGTGATTATGCTACCAAATTGGTATATGGTTAGATTCCTTTGCTTCATTATACTTTTGATTTCTAGGGTTTATTCTTTTGTTTAACTTTGTTTCATGATTACGTACAGTTTCAAACTCATAGCTACAAAATGATGGACACTTAGCGAAATCTAGCTTCTATCCCTGCCTCCCACCCCATTCTACCCTGTTTTCTCCATTACCCTATAGGCCAGTGGTCCCCAACCTTTTTGGCACCAGCGACTGGTGTTCCTATGAGAATCTAATGCCTGATGATCTGAGGTGAAGCTGAGGCAGTGATGCTAGTGCTGGAGAGCAGCTGCAAATAGAGATGAAGCTTCACTTGCTGGCCTGCTGCTCACCACCTGCTGTGAGGCCGGTTCCAGTACTGGTCCACAGCCCCAGAGTTGGGGACCCCTGCTATAGGCAACTATTGTCTTTAAAATAGACTGTTTCCTTGCCCTACTTCTCTTTATCCCTTTATCCTTATTTATTTTCCTTTATATCTCCTGTCACTACCTGACATTATTACCTTCTTTCATTACTAGAATATAAGCTTCTTAAGAGCAGGGATCTCAGATGTGCCAAAATAAATGCTTTTCTCAGCTTCCATTTAGGGCCACTCAAAGCTATATTTGTGATTGGTTTTTTGTTTTTCCTTTTTTGAACATAAGTTAGCAGTATAGTTTACTTTATTTTTTTTAAATTTATATTATTTGGTCAATACTGTGATTTCACATCAATACGCATTAATTATACCCTTACAGCCATTAAAAATCACACGGGGCAATATGATGTAGTGGATTTAACAGTGACAAGGAGTGAAGGGCCCCTGCCTTCTGAGATGTGCTATGTTCCCATATACAAATGACAGAGGAGTAGATGAAGATGGCCTGTGGCATGTGCTACCATGTCTGAGAGGCCCCACCTTCCATGACAGTAAGCCATGCAAGACCCAGGAAAGTGTTATGCTTGAGGATGGGGGTGCTCCAGTGTTAGAGTGAAGTAGACTTTGTTTACAGTCATTTGTGCTAGAATGTGACATAATGTTCCTAAAAATCACTACAACCTGCAAAATTGTTTAGTAAAAACCACAGAGGTTGTGCATAAATTGGGATTAGGGGTATAGCACTCAAAACCTTGTCAGTGACATGTTAAAAGGAACATGATAAAAAGCACAGTTTTTGCACATTAAATGTTGAAGAAATAGATAAACACTGTACTAAATATGACACTTTACCTTGAAAAGACCTGATGTTTTCTTATAGAAGTGGGAATTGAAAGGGTTGCAGCCTGTGAATTTAGCTGGGTGCAGTGTTCTGTGTTCACCCATTGTTATTCATGCACAAAATTGCACGTAAGCAAGTGGTTGTGCTCACATTGTTTCCTAATCGTGTAGGAACGATTTACATTTTTTAAGCAGGTGGTGTAGCAGAACTGACTGAATTTTTCCCATTCTCTTTTAGATGATATACCAACGGGAACTGCTGGCAGACGAGCTTCAAATGAGTTCTTGATGTGTGGAGGGTATGTTTACATATAATTATTATTTTAATTTAATTTTTTTACGCCTACAACAACCGGTCTTCCTAGGCGGTCTCCCATCTAAGTACTAACCAGGCCTGACCCTGCTTAGCTTCCAAGATCAGATGAGATTGAATGTGTTCAGGGTGGCATGGCTGTAGTGTTTACATATAATTAACTAAAAGAATTTTCATAGTTTTTTTAGTAAAGTTATGGAACTTTGTGTTAATTCTAAAATTTATTTTGTTTCACAATTTATCATTAAAAATTTTTTAAATTGTAAAAGAAACACACATAAGATCTGGTGTGTTAAACATTTTTAAGTTTATAGTCCAATAAAGTATAATCACAGTGTTGTGCAACAGATCTCCAGAACTTTTTTATCTTGTAAAACTGAAACTCAGTACTCATTGTAACAACACTCTCATTCCCCACTTCCCCAGGTCCTGGCAACCACCATTCTGTTTTCTGTTTCTATGAATTCGACTACTTTAGATGCCTCATTATATAAATAGAATCATACAATATATGTCTTTTTGTGACTGGCTTAGTTCACTCAGCACAGTGTCCTTAACATTCATTCATGTTGTAACATGTCAGAATTTCCTTTTTAAGGCTAAATAGTATACCGCATTTTATTTATCCATTTGTCTGTTGATGTGCACATGGAGTGCTTCTGCCTCTTGGCTGTTATGAATAATGCTGCTGTGAATGTGAATGTGCAAATATCTATTTGAGACCCTGTTTTTAATTCTGTTGGATATATACCCAAACGTGGGGGTGCTAGATCATATGATAATTCTATTTTTAATTTTTTGAGAAGCTTCCATACTGTTTTTTTTCCGTAATGGTTGCACCGTTTTGCATTCCTAGCAACAATGTAAAAGGGTTCTGAATTTCTCCACATCCTCACCAATATTTGTTAGTTTCTGTTTTGTTTTTTTTTTAATTAAAACCATCTTTTTTTTTTTTAATAGCCATCATTTTAATGGGTGTGAGTTGATATCTCATTGTGGTTGTAATTTGCATTTTTTAAATAATTAGTGGTTTTGAGCATCTTTTCATATACTGTTGGCCATTGTATATCATCTTTGGAGAAATTATCCAAGTTCTTGGTCCATTTTTAATCAGGTTATTTTTTGTTTTGGGGTTATAGGAGTTCTTTATATATTTTGGGTATTAACTTTATCAGATATGTGATTTACAAATATTTTCTCCCATTCCATAGGTTGTCTTTTCACTCTGTTGATGTGTCCCTTTGAGCTCAGAAGGTTTAAAATTTGATACAGTGCCATTTGTCTTTTTTTTGTTTTGTTATCTGTGTGTTTGGTATCCACTTCCAAGAATCATTGCCTAATCCAAATATTAGGCATGAACCTTTCCTCCTGTGTTTTCTTCTAGGAGTTATATAGTTTTGAGTCTTATGTTTAGATTTTTAGTCTCTTTTGAGTTAATTTTTTTCTATGGTGTAAAGTAAAGTTCTAATTTTATTCTTTTGCATGCAGATACCTAGTTTTCCTAGGACCATTTGCTCAAGAGACTGTCCTTTCTCCATTAAGTGATGTTGACGCCTTGTCAAAGATCATTTGTCTGCATACGTAAGGATTTGTTTCTGGGAGCTCTATTCTACTCATTGGTCTATATGGCTATCTCTATGCCAGTACCATACACTTTTGATTATTGTAGCTTTGTTATATATTTTGAGATCAAGAAGTTTGAGACCTCCAATTTGGTTCTTCTTTTCCAAGATTATTTTGACTATTTAGGGTCCCCACAGATTCTATATGAATTTTAGTACAGATTTTTCTATTACTACAAAAAATGTCATTGGTATTTTGATAAGGATTACATTGATCTGTATTTAGGTCACTTTGGGTAGTATTGACATCTTAACAATATTAAGTCTTCCAATCTACGAATGGGGGATGTCTTTAATTTATTTCAGCCATATTTTGTAGTTTCCAGCACGTAAGTCTTTCACCTTCTTGGCTAGATTTATTTTTAGCTATTTTCTTCTTTTTGATACTGTTATAAATGAGATTCTTCTTTTAATTTTCTTTTTGAATTGTTCATTGTTAGTGTATAGAAATACAACTAATTTCTGTGTGTTGATTTTGTATTCTGCAACTTTGCTGAATTTATTAATTTTAGTGGGGTGTATGTGTAATCTTTAGGGTTTTCTACATTTAAGATGATGTTATCTGTAAGCAGAGATAAATTACTTCTTCCTTTTTGACTTGAATGTCTTTTATTTCTTTTTCTTGCCTAATTGCCTTGGCTAGAAATTCTATATTGAGAAGTGGTGAGAATGGGAATCCTTGTCTTGTTGCCGATCATAGAGGAAGGCTTTCAAGCTTTCACCATTGAGTTTGATTTTAGCTGTGTGCTTTTCATATATGGCTTTTTTTATGATACAGTGGTTTCTTTCTAGTTTGTTGAGTGTTTTTATCATGATAGGGTGTTTGTTGGATTTTGTCAAATGCTTTGTCTGTATCACTTGAGGTAATGTAGTTTTTGTCCTGTTAATGTGTATTATAAATTCTTTTTGGTCATGGTGTATTATCCCTTTAATGTGCTGTTGAATTTGTTTTGCTTGTATTTTGTTGATTTTTACATCAAATTTCATCAGGGATACTATTATGTAGTTTTCTTGTAGCGTCTGTGTCTGGCTTTGGTATTGGGTAATGCTGAACTGATTGAATAAGCTTGGGAGTGTTCCCTCCTCTTTAATTTTTGGAAGAGTTTGAGGATTGTTGGTTTTAAATCTTTAAATGTTTGGTAGAATTCACCAGTGAAGCCTTCTGGTCATGAGCTTTTTTTTGTTATTGGGAGGTTTTTGATTACTGATTCAGTCTTCTTACTAGTTACGAGTGTTTGCATTTTCTCCTTCTTCGTGATTTAGTCTTGATAGGTTGTGTATTTGTAGGGAGTTATCCATTTTTTCTAGGTTATCCAATTTGTTGGCAAGCAATTGTTCATAGTATTCTCTTATAATCCACTTTATGTCTCTGGCATTAGTTGTAATGTCCCTTACTCCCTTCTTTCACTTCTGATTTTGAGTCTTCTTTTTTTTTCTTAGTTAATCTAGCTAAGGGTTTGTCAATTTTATTGAGCTTTTAAAAATACCAACTCTTAGTTTCTTTATTTTTTTTCCTATTGTTTTTCTGTTGCCTCAGTTTTATAATTTACTTCTTCTAGCTTTGGATTTAGTTTCTTTTTCTAGTTCCTTAAGGAGTGTAAAGTTAGGTTGTTTATTTGAGATATTTTTTAATTTGAGTGTTTATAGCTATAAAATTCCATCTTAGTACTACTTCCACTGTATCCCATAAGTTTTGCTATGTTATATTTTTATTTTAATTTTTCTCAACACATTTCCTGGTTTCTTTTGTGATTTCTTCTTTGACTCATTGATTAAGAGTGTGTTTGTAATTTCTACATATTTATGGATTTTCTAGTTTTCCTTCTGCTTTTGTTGATGTCTTGTTTCTATCCATTATGATCAGAAAAGATATTTTATATGATTTCAATTTTTGAAAATTAGTTTAGGTTTTTTTTTGTGGTCTAACATGTGGTCTGTCCTGGAGAACGTTGCATGTGCACTTGAGAATGTATATTTTTCTGTTGGCGGGAGGAGTATTCTATATATGTTTGTTAGGTTCACTTGCCGGTCATGTTGTTCAGGGCTACTATTTCTTTATTGATCTTTCATCTGGTTGTTTTATCTACTGTTGAAAGTGGGGCATTGAAGTGTCCAACTATTATTGTAGAATTGTCTATTTCTCCTTTCAATTCTGTCAATATTTGCTTCATATTTTCCTGGTTAATTGACCATTTTATCATTATATAATGTATTTTTTTTTTTGGTCTCGTAACAGTGTTCGACTCAAAGTCTATTTTGTTTAATATTAATATAGTTATCCTTGCTCTCTTTGGGCTACTATTTGCATGGAATATCTCCTTCCATCCTTTCACTTTCAGCCTAATAAGGAAAGATTTATTATTGCCATTTTGTTACTTTTCCTTACGTCTTGTGGCATTTTTTACTCCTCACTTCCTCTCTTAACTACTTTCCTTTGTTTTGGTTCTTTTGTAGTGATGTGCTTTGACTCTCTTCTCATTTTCTATTGTGTATATTCTATACATACTTTTTTTTGTGGTTACCGTGGTGGTTACATGAAACATCTTAAAGTTATAACAATCTATTTCAATTGCATACAATAACTCTGAGTAGTGGTAGCACCCTGGAGTCCCTTGATGTACAGTTTTGGAACCATGGGGTAAGCAAATTTTGTGCAGACCTGTTTGCTGCCTTTCTTTGAGGATATGTTTTAAATATGGGAATTGTATATTTCCAAGTTTTTACTTTTGATTTGCTGTCATTTTTTCTTCCTTAGTTATCTTTGCTTTTTTTCTTAGCTTCTCTTTCTATGGTATAATTCTTTAACTTTTCTTAATTGATGTATGCATTTTTACCTAAAGAAGCACTTCTTAGTAATAATTTTCTTCACTATCCATATGACAGTCTTTAGTACATGTAGGGACCGTGATATCCATTCCTTGTGCATCCAGAGAAATAGTAGACATAAATATAAGTGTTAGGATATCAGAAAATTTTTTAATTAAGCAATTTTTTGTTTTATTTATTTTTATTGTTGTTTTATTGTTTACTTGTTTATTTTAGTTTTAGAATATCAGAATTTTGAAGACTAGTTGTTATCAGCCATTAATGGAGACAAACTGTGTGTGCCGCACATGCTGCATTGTATCGTCTCTGAGTGGATTCCTACTTTTATGATGGCCTCCCTATAGACACTAACTTCTTTCTTGCTGGACCTGTCACTTGCTTTCCATCTGCCACTATGGGCCTCTATACCAGATTAGGCCCTTTCTTCTCTGTTGCTCTCCATTATATGAGCTCACAGCTGTGGCTCAGCATTTGGCTGCAGAGATTGGGTTTCATGGGAAGAATGCATGCATCCTTCTCTCTTCTCTCCCTCTGGCCTTGATGTTACATTCTAGTTGTATTCCTGCCATCCTGATTACTTGTTAACCTCTTAGGATTTTCTCATGGAATCTTTCTAAAACATAGAGGGAACAATTGGGAACTTCCTATTATAAAGGTTGTGAATTTGAAGAAGCTGTTGTTCAGTCACCTAGTCTTTTATTTGTCCTTCGCATTTGTGTCTTCCTCTCAGCATTTGAGAGAGTAGATAGGATAACATATGATTGATTGTGTTACCGTGTGAGCACACTGCTTCATCTTCCTAGTATTCTATGCAGGTCAAAGATGACTTTGCACAAAGAGAATCCTCTCAACTGCAAGACCCTAATGGAAGTGAGGAGGACATGCAGGAGACTCGGCATATGTAGCCTTTCCCTCTCCTCACCTTAGGCTTAGAGAGTCAAGAAATGGTTAAACACTGGCTTTATTAATATAAAGCTAGACAGAAAAGTAACTGCAGTAGTCTTAACTAGTGGAGCTCTGGGACTTTGTCCAAGGAAGACTTTCTAGACTGAGCAAGCCTGTTTAAAGTTCCTGTCCAGCAACTGTCTGAGACATTTATAGAACATCTGCCATGGCTGTTCATCTCTTAATGTGCTGTGAGGTGGAGGAGCCAGAATTATTCGAGAGGGCATCTGGTTGTTTGGGATTCTCTGAGAGAGGTGCCTTGATATGAGGTTGCTAAGTTTACTTCTTATGGTTTCTTTATCTAGCTTCTTAATTTCCCTTTGGTTATTAACAAGGAAAATATTAGAACTTGACAATGTGTAAGTTTAAAAAATTCCCAGATGTGTTTGCTTCATCAGCTCTTTATTTGTTTCATAAATTGGGACGGTAAAAAGGTGGCATTTGTTCATGCACATTTCAGTACTTGATGCCTGTGCCGGTTGTTCTATTATTGAGCAACTTAAACTGTCTGGCCTTTGCATACACTGGGTTGTAGGCACCAGAGTTGGTTAACAAAGTCCTATAAAGCTGTTTAGTTTCAAGTAGAAGTGTTTTGTTTTATTTTGAGGTTGTAGATAAACTTCGCATTCATATGTAGATAGTGAAAACATAAACAAATCATAGTATTTAAGAGATATTTAATAAAATTACCTAAATGAAAAATAGTGAGAACTTATAGAATCACACTAAATCATGTATCAATGAGGAATTCCACTTGACTATAAACAACAGGGTTCTGAGTGTAGTGTGGTTGAAAACTAAAGGTTTCATTTTCTCACACAAAGAAAAGTCAAGATAAATAGTTATTAGTCAAGATAAATATTTTGCCTTTGTTTCCTTTGGCTCAAGAAAATTTTCTACAGTTCTTTTGGCCTTTTCCTCACGGTTCTAAGATAGCTGCTGATGCTCCAGCAAGCATATCCACATTCTGGAAAGGAGGAAGAATGGATAGAGGATTTCCACTTATACCTGTTGACCAAGAAAAACATATGACTACTCATGGCTCCAAGGGAATCTTGGATATGTCATAATCACTACCTTCTATAAAATTTGAGTTGTTAGTAAGAAACAGTTGGTGAATGCATATCGGGGAGGCAACTAACATCACTGCTACAGATGAGATTTTCTTTTGATTTAAATATGAAATACTCTAATGGTTTAAAAAATTCTAAAATTATACTTTGTTTTGTTTAGATAACTATATAATCTCTTTATAATGTTGTAATTGGGAAAAAGTGAGAGATTGTGTCTTTTTTAGAATTATAGAAGGGCAGAAGAATGAAATAAGTCATTTTTTTAAAGCCCTGTATTATTCCTCATGTTTCAAGATATGTTGCCAATCAAATTGAAAGTCATCTAAGGACATAATATTTCTGAATTTATGAAAAGTAAGGAAAGAAGCTATTAAGAAACCAAGTACTAACACTTAAAAATGTGAACCTCAAATCAGTTCTATGCTTTGAAAGTTACACAATGTATTTTCAGTCTTCATAAAAGTCAAAGGTCCTTGGGAATGCTTACTGCATTCATAACTTTTGTAAACATTCCAGTCATCTTTGCTCTTGAACTGCCTGTTCTTTTACCCAGCATATTTTCCTAGAAATATTTTTTCTCTCTCACATAATAATGAATAGCAGAATGTGAGCAGATGAAACTCAGTTTTACCAAACTACTTTTCTTATTGTAGAGGAATGTTTTTCCAGTTCTTGTTCCAGTTCTTAGTCCTCAATATGATATGAATGCCAGGAAAGTTCTTTAAATGACAAATGAAATTATTTTTGCTTTATATATTTTTTTAAGATGATCATTTTTTTATTCACATACAGAATTAATCATTTGGCTTCTAGAATTGTCTCTAAATATCACCAATGGGTCAAATGAAATAAAAGTCTTACTTGTATTTCTTTCTTTTTTCAATAAATTATGGTTGCAGTCAATGCCAGCCTACTGTGTCACCTCAGAGTGAAACAGCACCAATTCCAGTTCCTACTCAGATAAGGAATTATCAGCGCATAGAGCAGAATCTTACATCTACTGCCAGTTCTGGCACAAATCTACATGGTTCTCCAAGGTAAGCTAGTATTTTTTTCCTTTTTAATTTTTTTTCTTTTCTTTTAAAATTTTGTCATTATAGAAAGATCTGTTACTTTTCATAGCTAACTTAAGTCTCTTACATATGTGTATAATGGAGGTGTACAAAATTGTACAAAAATTGAATAATAAAAATTTTTTTGTGATGGATCTATTTAAATAATACTTAAGCTTGGCTGGATAATATTATATATATATATATATTTGTCCACAAATAAAATTATTTTTAAGAATTGAGGAAGAATTTTTTAAAAAATGAAATCTCACCAGTTGTAGCAGATTATTTACATAGTTCTTCTACATCCTGAAACCTCATGAAGGCAGCAAAGGAATGACAATGGTGTTAAGTCCACAGAGACAAATAAAATAAGAATAAATGTTCAGTGGGTGAGAGATTTTAATAAATTTCTAGAAAACAGAAAGAGAATGGAAGATAGATGCCTGATACATAGCAGGGCAGGTGTAAATGTTCGTGCAATCAGAGATTCTGACAAAATGAAAGTAACTGTGCCCCATAGTACTCTTGGAGACCTAAATCTCAAGAGAACTTATAGTGGAGGGATGAAAATGAAGCATAAGGCTAAAAACAGAAAAAACTGTCTCTGAAGAAAATAGCAAGAATATTAAAAAAAGAAATTTATTTTAGAAATTAGTACCCTTAGACATAGGTTAGAGACTATATCCATAAATAATGAAATGCTGTTGAAAACAATCAAAATAAAAAGGACCTCCTGGACATTACAAAAATATAAAAACCAAAATGAAAATAAATGTTGGAACATAAAGTTGAAGTATCTGAAATAGGTGAATCAAATAAAAATGGAAAATACAGATAAATAATATTCTTCAAGGATTAATCAATATGGGCATTCCAGAAAGAACAAGTAAAATGATGAAGAAAATTTCTAGAAGATAGTCAAACTTTTTTCCAGAATTAGAGGATACAAGATTTTAGATTAAAAGGGCCCACCAAATAAATAGCTCAATGAATATAAAATGATCCTCATCATCTCATAGGATTAAATTGAGAAAACATCTACAGAGGGCATTTAGCAGTATCTATGAAAATAATTATTGCATGTACCTTTTGAACCAACACTTGAACTTCTGGTAACTTATTCTGCAGCTACATAGTCCTTGCCTATATGTGAAATTGCATTTATACAAAGTTGTTAATTGTTAGAATAGCAAAGGATGAGAAATAAGCCAAGTGCCCACCGATAAGGGACTGATTTATTATGGTCTGTCTATGATAGTGGAACACCTTACAAAAAGAGTAAAGGAACTTTCTATGTACTAAGGTAGAAACATTTTCAAGATATATTGTAAAATGAAAGAAGCAAAGTGATTAACAGTGTGTTTATTAGCAGTGGTTTTCAAAGTGTGGTCTGTGACTTCCTTTGTATAGGGGTCCATGAAGACAAAACTATTTTCATAACAACATTAGGACATTATTTGCTTTTTCGTTGTGTTGACATATGCACTGATGGTGCAAAAGCAACGATGGAAAACTGCTGGTGCCTTAAAATGATTCAAGGTAGTGGTACCCAACGGTACTGTTAGTCTTTATGTTCTTTACCACTACACACTTGTAATACCAAGGAATATCTTTAATGAAGCATTCAATAAAATAAAATAATTTTTATTATTATTTCTCTTTGAAAATCCTGACCTTGAGTGGAATGTGGGCATTAAGTACTTTTGCTGCATATTAGAGTAGTTGTCTTAAGGAAAAACACTTGTATGATTGTTTTAGTTGCAAACTGAACTAGCCACTTTTTCATGGAACATCATTTTTACTTGAAAGAACATCTGACAAACTATGATTATGAGTATTTGGTGGCCATTTTGTCAAAAACGAACCAAGTCTGTCATTTCATAGAAAACAAGTTACATAAAAGTTGAGCTCTTGAGCAGAGATTAGAATTTTGGAAAACTTGTATTCACCACTGTGATCTTGGCAACTTCTGTTATGTCTTGACAGCCTTTTCTGTTAAGATTGGTGGTGGTATTATGATATGAATGTGACTTTTTGGTGTTATATAATGTGTCAACTTTTGGCATAACAACATAATTCAGTCAACCAATATTTTCCAAATGATCAAATGTTTTAAAAAATCATGCACACATGAAAAGATTGATTCCAACTACAAGATACTTTGCAAAAGAGTGGAGTTTAATGTAATAGTATGGAATTTCACTGACGTGGTTTCAGATTCCACATTGTGACTAATCTTTTAGAAATGACAACTTGCTGAGTTTTGGTGTAATATCAAAGAAGAGTATCACAATTATCTGAAACTCCAACCAAAGTTTCCTCCCCTTTCCAGTTATATATCTGTGTAAGTATGGATTTCCTTCATATACTTCATCCAAAATAACATATTACATAATAGATTGAATGTAGAAACAGTTATAAGAATTCAACTGTCATCTGTTCAACTAGACATTATATAGAAATTAGCACATATATAAAATAATATCACACTCTCAGAAATTTATTTTGCTTTTGGAAGATATAATTATTTTTCATAATCTTATGTTACATGTAATAAATTTATTTTTAATGAATTAATCACAAAACTTTATCAGTTTTAACTTTTAATACAGTAAATATCAATAGATACAAGTCGCATAAATAACTATTCTCTGGGATCTTCAGTAATTTTAAGAATATAAAGGGGACCGAAGACTAAAAAGTTGAAAATGGTTGGTATGGTACATAACATACTACCTTTGTTAAGACAAGATGAAAATAAGATTATACAGTTGACCTTTGAACAACTCAGCGGTTGCACTTGAAAATCTGACTCCCCCAGAACTTAACTACTAATAGCTTACTGTTGACCAGAAGCCTTTCCGATAACATAAACTGTAGGTTAACACATATTTTGTATGTTATATGTATTATGAATAAAATAAGCCAGAGAGGAGAAAATATTAAGAAAATCATAAGAAAGAGAAAATACATTTACAGTATTTATTGAAAAAAGTCTTCATATAAGTGGACCCACGTTCAAGGGTCAACTGTATATTCAGTTTTTTATTTGCTTGTATATGAATTAAGGAACTCTGGAAAGACATTAGAAACTAAAAATAGTGGTAACCTTTTGAGTAGGACTGAAGAAGTGTTGAGAGTTAGGCAGACAGGATATAAGGATGAGAGAGAGACTTCACTATATAGTTTAATACATTTTATGTTTGTTCTGTGCGACTGTGTCACATTTTTTAAAAAATCTACTCCATGGTATGTTGTAGGAAGTTTGGGGCAGGGGAGGAAATACAGAAATAAAGACAGAGTCCTAGCACCTGCCAGAGAAGCAGTCATTTTATTTTGTTTTTTCAGATCTGCAGTGGTACGAAGGTCTAACACCAGCCCAATGGGCTTTCTCCGGTTGGGAGCCTGCTCTCCAGCGCCAGCAGACACAGTACAGACAGTTGGGCGAAGACTCTCTACTGGGTCTTCCAGGCCTTATTCACCTTCCCCTTTGGGTAAGGAGAGTTTAAAGCATTTGTTTTCAGTCTTTTTTCACTATGACAAATACGACACTCTCTTTAGGAACAGTGGTACACGACGGCAGTGCGTCTCGCTGATTGGGAACCATATCCCACCCTTTCAACTATACCCCACTCCTGACTCCCTCTTGAGAATCTCTGTATAAATCTGTTAGGACCTCTATTGGAAATATGATGATGCAAATAGATCTCATGGATAAAAAGCATCTTCATTAGGCTGGGGCTCAAAGCACAAAGCCAGAAACCCTAAGTTAAACTACATTAAATGCCTCTCCTACTTATCACTCAGATTTATGAGGTTTAAAAGACAATAATATACATAATAGCATTGGGTTATGTTCACCAGAGGTCTTCCAGCTCAGGGAAGGATATGATGGCAGCTTCATTACAATCTTCCCACCTCTTCTGGAAATCATATACAACAACAAAGAGAATGTTAAACAAACCAAAAGCAAACAGTAAAACAACAGCAACAACAAAAACCTAACCAAACAAACCTCACACCAACGTTTTAGTGAAACTAAGACAAAATGCTCCAACTTCAGAATACATGTAAGAGGCCAAAGCAACTAAGATCGCAGAATCTGAGAGAAACAACACTGATATGGAAGGACAGGTAGTACAGAGAGGGCTCAGTGGTGGCAGATCTCAAAATTGCAAAAAAAAAAAAAATTGTGTGTGTATGTGTGTGTGTAATTTTTAAAAGGAAAGGGTCCCCACCCTCAGCAAAAACTGCTGGAGTAGAAGAGGGAATGGGAGGAAATCTTGGGAGGTGGTAAAGTGAAAAGGATTGAAGTCGTACCCAGAAGCCCTGATTAAAACAAAAAACTACAATGATATATATCTTTTAAATTTATATCACTACTTCACCTGTTGCAATGGTTTCAAAGCTGTTTTTAGCTGAAAAATTTTTTTCGAACGAAATCTTGGCCCTCCCTCACCTCCTCACTAGCTCCTGAAGCAGTCCAAGGTCTCTAGAGACAAGTTCCAAAACTTACCCTTGCACTCAAAGAAAAGGCCCTTCCTCAGGATCTAATCTTTGCCTGCCCACCTAACCACTTGGTCATTGCCTCTTCTTTTTTTATAGACATATGTCTCTTGTCTGCTTAAATACCCTGAAGTCTTCCCCAGCTCTTCCTCTTGTTGGTTTAGGTTCTCAGAGGTAGATGCAGAGATGTGCAAGAGAGATTGGGGAAACACCTGTGACAGATAAAGGGGAAGAAGCAGTAGTTGACAGGGAGCCCCTTCAGACCACCATACAGATCTGACCCCTGTGAGGGAGAGAGGAAGGAAGGAGGAGTCCTGACTATAGTGAGCTCTAAGAAGGTTTTAACCTGGCTGAAGGAGTATCCCCAAGCACTAAGTTGTCCAGATTTCCTGACCTGCCTGAACCACATGTAGTCAATGGCTGGGAGCAGCCCTGGGAGCATGCCTTAGCAAGGAACATGGTGGATTCACAGAGACAACAGCTGGGCTGTCAGTCAGCTCCATAAGCCTCAAACACTTTGTATAAACTCTTTGTACTTCCGTATCTTAAAGATATACCTGCTATAGGCATTGGGTTATTTACATGGTTTTCTTTCCTAGTGATCTTCTTTGAAGGCAAGTTAGTTACATGGAACTTTTGATCTTAGTGTGCCTAGTACCTAGCACACTGGTTGCTTAGTGTTAGCTGAACTAAATCTGTGCCTAATTAAGTTTTGTAAACTATAGTGTATTGTGCAATTTGTGCATGTGTTGCCTGTTTTCATCCTTTATTGGTTTTGAATCATTTCTCATTCCTTTCCCTATTTTCCTCTTCACAGTTGGTACCATTCCTGAGCAATTTAGTCAGTGCTGCTGTGGACACCCTCAGGGCCATGAATCCAGGAGTAGAAACTCATCAGGTAGGAGACGTATTTGGTATATTAATAATTTTAATCCCATTATAAGTGTATTTGAATTATGTTTTTCTAGTCTTATCAAAAGTACAGAATTGATATGAAATATATTCTCTGCTATCCTGTTTTTTAGAATCTTGGTCTAACATGTTTTTAGATAGCCAATCAAATATCTCTTGGGTATATGATTATTTTATGAAAATAAGTCTTAGGAATTAATTAATTACCTAAATTTTGGTCATTGTCATACAGATAATGAAAAGCAATATAGGAAATGAAATTTTGTTACTTTGGTTAATACTGTTCTTAGTTAGAGCCACCAGTTGGCATCAGATAAAAAAGAAATATAGATGTTTATTTGCTTTATTATGTAATATATACATGCCTGTAAAGTATGTGTAAATTATACTTTTATAAGTCAAATTTTATTGTATGTGCATTTGAGGAGTTGGCCAGTTAAAGGAATTCTCTGTTACTTAGAAAACCACTCCTTTCTAAGTTAAGTTTTTCATATTCTCTTTCCTTCAAAATAAAACTTAGCTTCCTTCGGATCTAACATTTTACCACTAATTTTATTTACTTGTGTGTGTGTATATGTATATACACATATATACGTACATATAGGTCTGTGTGTGTGTGTGTGTGGTTGGTTGGTTGGCAGGGCCCAGTTCTGAAAAGTTATTTAAGATGAGGTTAAGAGCTTGGTAGCAAAAGCTCCTATTGGTGTCTTTTTGGGAAGATCACTAAGAAGATTTATATGTCCTTAATGTTATTGGTTGTAGTTTGGTTTGCAAGGAGTGCCAAAGAATTTGTAACTGGAGCTTAAAGCTTAGTGGACCTTAAATTGGCAACAATAAGGTCTGTGTGGGGGAATGCCCTTCTTGGCAACTGTTCATCATATCAGTACTCTATCTCCCAGACACTTGATATGGTGTCCCCTTAAGAGGCAAGACTACCTGAGGACAAATGTTTTCTTTGAAGAGAATATGGATACTTTAGGTTTTAAATGAATTTCATTAATGAAACGGGCAAATATAAATAAATTATCCATATGCTTGTTTTTTAAAACAAAATCCAGGAAAGGTGTATTATCTTTCTAATTTTATTTCCTAAATTACATATATATGTGTGTATATATATGTAAATTTTATATATATATATTTATTTTTTTTAAATAAAGGGTTATTCTGGGTTAGTTTGAAAAGTTTATTTTAGTTGCTGTTAGAGAATAATTACATTGATATACCCAAGTATATATTCATATAAAGGTATATCATTTTGTTGTTTTCATTAACTTTAACCATTTACTATATAGTTCTGTGTAGACCTTGCATTAATCAAAGTAGACCTTGCATTAATCTGAGTTATTTGATAGATGCTAATATACCTCCTGAGAATTCTATCTCCTGAAAATACCAGTGACAATGTACTTGTCATTTTTGTAAAGGATGACAAAAAATAATCTCTTGCCAAGTTAACACTTTTACAATATCTAATGAAAAACAAGGCATTCATTGGAATTCTCATTTTAAGAATTGTCTTAATTCTTAAATTTTTGCCATGTACTTCTTCACTTTGGGTTAACTTTGTATTTATTTTCTTGATAGGTTCTCCAGTGCCACAGACTCAGTCACCACAGTCTTTCTTACTGGGTGCTAGACTGCAGAGTACCCCCACCCTCACTGACATCTACCAGAACAAGCAGAAGCTCAGAAAGCAGCACTCTGACCCTGTGTGCCCATCCCATTCCGGGGCGGGGTACAGCTACTCACCTCAACCCAGTCGGCCTGGCAGCCTTGGGACCTCTCCCACCAAGCATGTGGGATCCTCTCCACGGAGTTCTGACTGGTTCTTTAAAACCCCTTTACCAACAATCATTGGCTCTCCTACTAAGGTGTGTTTATTAACATTTTGTAGGTGTTGTGACTTTGTGAAATTAACATTTGTGAAGTGGAACATAGGGCGCTGGATGGACAGTCAAGGTTCAACAACAGACCACAAGAGAAATTGAAATAGGGAAGTCTGTTACTCATAGATCCTGAAAGAAATACCAGGCACACCTCTGGGGGCCACACAGGGATATCGAGGCTGGGTACAGACAGAGAGAGATAGGACCTAGGTACATGCCTTTATTAGGGTTTTTGGGTAGAGTGCTTTGGGGTTCCTGGCTAAGGCTGATTGGTCAATTCAAATCAAAAGATCAGGGTTCTGGTGAGCTCCATGGGGGTCTTATATAAGGGGCACACAGGTAGGAGACGGTGAAGGAGACTCTTGATCACAAAGGCTTTTAGGGGAGTCACATCAGGAGCTTATATTTGCTGGTGACTGTGGCCTGCTATCTAGGGCATGCTATTGCAAGGGGGCTAGTGTCAGCTTAAGATCCCTGTAGGCCACTTGGCTAAACAAAATAGATGCAGAATCAGTAATACCATGTTCAGCTTAGCTGCACTCTCTATAGTAAGTCATGAACTAGTATAGTAAGTACTTTATGGAAAGGATCCATAATGAGAATGGCTACAATTTAATGAGCACTTGCTATGTGCCAGGCACAGTGTAAGTCCACACAATGTTTTATGTGCATTATCTTAATGAACTGTCCAACGTTACAGAGGTTGTAAGTAGAAGAGCCAGTATTTGAATCAGGTCTGATGAACTCCAGAGTCTAAGCTCCTGACTGTTTTGCCACGGAGCCTGACAATTCTGAATGCTTTATACTTTGTAATAACTAGCTTACATATGTTTCTTTAGGCCACAGCTCCTTTCAAAATCCCTAAAACACAAGCATCTTCCAACCTGCTGGCCTTGGTTACTCATCATGGGCCTTCTGAAGGGCAGTCTAAGGATGGGAATGACCCACGTGAATGCTCTCATTGTCTCCTAGTACAAGGAAGTGAGAGGCAGAAGTCTGAGCAACAGAACAAGGCAGTGTTTGGCAGGTAAAAGACACTGTTTCCTTCCAGCCTTAAACATGAAAATTGTAATAGCACATATATTCCTGTTATAAAAACACTAAGACCAAATTAGTAGCTGGTTTATGTAACGTGGTTAATGATATGAACTGTGTGCATTTAGAATCTCTGAAAACCATGCATGCTTCCTGTAACTGTGTAAATTACAGAGCTCTTCCTTTCTTCCTTAATTTCCTGAATATTCTATTTCTGCCTTTTGTTTATTTTGGTTATTGAAATTTATCTCTACCTTGAATTGTTTGGATCTATTTTTTGTCTTCTTGTTCTCTGACTTCCCATTGACCTTTTTTCTGGCTTAAAGTATACATTACTACTCTTCTTTTTAGATCTGTCAGTACTGGGAAATTATCAGATCAACAAATGAAGACACCTTTAGGTGGACATCAGGGCAGCACAGACAGTTTAAATACAGAACGACCAATGGATATAGGTAAGAAAAAGCTTGTTTTTTGTTTTTTGTTTTTTTTTTTAAGGCAAGTAATTTTTTAGCATATGCAACAAATTAACTTCCTATTGCCGCTGTAACAAATTAGAAGTTTGGTGGCTTAACACAACACAAAGGTATAATCGTACGGTTCTGGAGGTCAGACGTCTGGTCTGAAATGGGTCTCATTGGGCTAAAATCAAGAAGTTGACAGGGCTGCCTTCCTTCTGGAGCCTCTGGCGGGAATGCATTTTCTTGCCTTTTTCAGCTTCTGGATACTGCCCTCATTCCTTGGCTCATGGTCCCCTTCCATCTTGAAAGCCAGCAATGGCTAGTCTATAGACTCTAATGCCTCCTTACTCTACATTTAAAGGACTCTTGTGATTTCATGTACCTACTGGATAATCCAGAATTATCTCTTTCTTTTAAAGTCAACTGATTAGCAGTTCTAGTTCTATCTACAACTTTAATTTCCTTTTGCTATGTAATATAGCTTATTTAAAGGTTCCAGCATTAGGACAGGGACATCTTTGGCTGGAGGGTAGGGGTAATTATCTTACTTACCTGCTTCAGTTGACTGTTCATGAACTTACCCAGATTTCTTCACCCCATCCCTGTCATTTCATCTTCTTTCTAAGTAGGCTATTAAGAAAGGGGCTTGTTTAGCATCTTGATGATCAACAGCCTATGTGTTACAAGGAATTCTGACTGAGATTGTTTTTTATCAGTAGGATTATACTGGCTAAAGTTAGCTTAAATACACATGTACTCTTAAGCATTTCTTATATAGCAAGTAGAGCCTATAAAGAACTGTAAGTCACTGGGACCCCTGGTCCTTTAATAGTCATTCCAGGGACTGTTATGTCCATAGACACACATCTAGATTACTTGGTGTGCTTGTCAAGAGATACAAACAAAAGGCAGTTTCTAGACCTTAACTCAGGGTCTTTAATTAGATTTTCCGGGAATGGATTCTAGGAATCTGTGTCTTTAATAAGCTCCCCGTATGATTATTATGTACACCTAAATTTAAGAATCACTGTTATAACCTCTTTATTCTTTTCTTCTCTATAATTTTTTTATCGACTCCCCCAGCCATAAACAACTAAAGGAAGAAATATCTGACCAGCAGATATCTGATTGAGTGTGATTTCTAATCCAAAGGGAACATTTATAGGATTATAGGACCTTAGATTTCACTCCATTCTTTTTTTACTTGCATGATTTCTGGAGAGAAGTCCAGTGTAATTCTTACCCTTGTTCCTCTATGAGTAAGGTGAAAGTTTTTTTTTTTGTTTTTTTTTGCTTATTCCAAGATTTTTTCTTTGTCTTTGATTTTCTGCATTCAAGTATGGTATGCCTAAATGTAGATATTTTGGTATTCAAACTGCTTGGTGGTGTTATGAGATTTTTGGATCTGTGGTTTGCTTCTGTCATTAATTTTGGAAAATTCTCAGTCATTACTACTTTAAATACTTCTGCTGTTCTTCTCTTCTCCTTCTGATATTCCTATTATGTGCATATTATTACTTTGTAGTTGTCCCACAGTTCTTAGATATTCTGTTGTTTGGGTTTTTTACATCTTACTCTTTGTTCTTTAGTTTTGGAAGTTCCTATTGACATATCCTCAAGTTAACTGATTCGCATTAGCCATGTCTGGTCTATTGATGAGCTAATCAAAAAGCATTTATTCATTTATATTTCAGTGATTTTGATTTATAGTGTTTCCTTTTGATTCTCACAAAGTGTTCATCTTTCTGCTTATGTTACATGCTGTTTCTTTTTTCCATTAGAACCCTTAGCATATTAGTAATCATAGTTATTTTAAATTTCTGTTCTGATAATTTCACTATTTGTGCTATATCTGAGTCTAGTTCTAATGCTTGCTCTGTCTCTTCTTTTCAAATTGTTTTTACCTATTAGCTTACCTTTTAATTTTTTGTTAAAAGCCAGACATGAGCAAGACACTAGATAAAAGGAATTGAGTTAGTGTGACATTTTTTGTTAATCTGGCTAGGAATTGGGCTGTGTTTAGTGTTTGCTGTAGCTGTAGGTGTTAGAGACTAAACTTTTCTCTGATGTCCTTTTTTAATCTCCTTTGTCTTTGAGTTTCCCTAGATATCCCTTCTTAAATAACATCTGAATCTTGCCTAACCATATTTTCTAAGAGTTATAGTTTAGCTCTTACATTTAGGTCTATGATCCACTTGACTTAATTCTTGTGGATAATGTGTAGGGATCCAGCTTCATTCTTTTGTATGTGGTTATTCAGGGGTCCCAGCACCATTTATTTTATTTTTTTATTATTTTATTTTTTTTATAGTGACAGTTAACAAAATCCGATTAGTTTCAGCTGTACATTTTGACAGTAAGGCATATATATATTTACATTGTGTGTTCTTTCAGTCACCACATATTTGATCCCTTTTACCCTGTCTACCTCCTCGCTCCGGTAACCACTAGGTCTGTTGTCCATGTCCATGAGACTCTGTTTGTTTGTCCTGTTCATTTGTTGCTTTTAGGTTTATATCCCACATATAAATGATATCATGTGATTTTCAACTTTTTCTGTCTGGCTTATTTCGCTTAGCATGATTATCTCAAGGTCCATTCATGTTGTTGCAAATGGCAGTATTTCATCTCTTCTTATGGCTGAGTAATATTCCACATATGTGTATATGTACCACAGCTTCTTTATCCAGTCATCTATCGTAGGACACTTCGGTTGCTTCCATGTCCTGGCCACTGTGAATAATGCTGCTATGAACATCAGTGTGCAAATATCTTTTCGGATATGGATTTTCACATCTTTGGGGTAAATACCTAATAGAAGGATTGCCGGATCATATGGTAGATTAATTCTTAGTTTTTTGAGGAACCTCCATACTGTTTTCCATAGTGGCTATACCAGTCCTACCAGCAGTGTATGAGGGTTCCTTTTACTCCTCATCCTCTCCAATATTTGTTATTACTTGTTCTGTTGATTACAGCCATTCTAACATGTGTGAGATGGTATCTCATTGTGGTTTTGATTTGCATTTCCCTAATAGCTAGCAATGTTGAACATCTTTTCCTATGTTTGTTGGCCATTTGTATGTCCTCTAGAGAGAAGTGTCTGTTCAAGTCCTCTGCCCATTTTTTGATTGGATCGTTTGTTTTTTTGTTGTTATTGAGTTGTATGAATTTTTCTAATATTTTAGTATTAGGCCTTAATAGCAGTCACTGCTTGCAAATATATTTTCCCATTCGGATGGTTGTCTCTTTATCTATTTGACGGTTTCTTTTGTTGTGCAGAAGCTTTTCAGTTCGATGTGGTCCCATTCATTTATTTTTCTTTTACTTCCCTTGCCTTTGAGGTCCAATTCATAAAATCCTCTTTAAGTCCAAGATCCTTGAGTTTAGTTCCTATTTTCTTCTATGCATTTTATTGTTTCAGGTCTTATATTCAGGTCCTTAACCCATTTCCAGCACCATTTATTAAAAAGACTATTCTTTCCATCATCGAATTCTTTTGCCAGCCTTGTAAAAAAAAAATTAGTTGACCATAAAGCATTTATTTCTTATTTCATTAATCCGTATATCTGTTTGTATGCTGGCACCATACTTACTGCCTTGATTACTGTAGCATTATAGTAAATTTTGAACCATGAAATGTGAGTCTCTACCTTTGTTCTTCTTTTTCATGATTGTTGGTTATCCTGCATCTTTGAGTTTCCATTATGAATTTTAGCATCATCATACCTATTTCTGCAAACCTGCTAGAATTTTGATAGAAATTTCATTAAATCTATAGATCGATGTGGAGAGTATTGCAATCTTAACAATTTTCAGTTGATTTTTGAACATGGGATTTCTTTCCATTTATTTAGGTCTTTAATTTATTTCATCAGTGTTTTATAGTTTTTAGAATACAACTTCTATACTTGTTTTGTTAAATTTATTTCTAATTATTTTTGGTGTCATTTTAAATGGAATTGTTTTCTTAATGTCATTTTCAGATGGTTTATTGTCAATGTAAAAGAAATACAATTGAGTTTGCGTATCACTCATATACCCTGCAACCTTACTGAAAACATTTATTAGTTCAAATAGTTTTCTAGTGTATTACTTAGGATTTTCTATACACAAGATCCTGCCACCTGTGAACAGAGGTAGTATTTTCTTTTTAATCTGGATGCCTTTTATTTATTTGTTTTTTGCCCATTTGCCTTAGCTATAACCTCAGATACAATATTAAGTAGAAGTAGTGAGAGCAAACATCCTTGTCTTGTTCCTGATCTTGATGGGAAAGCTTTTAGTCTTTCATTATTTAGTATGATGTTAGTTTTGAGTTTTTCATAGATGCTGTTTATTAGCTGAGGAAATTCATTTCTGTTTCTAGTGTAATGAGTATTATGTGTTTCATTAATTGATTTATTGCATGTTAACCCCCCCTTTGCAATCCAAGGATAAATCCCACTTGGTTTTGTTATGATCCTTTTTTTGTGTTGCCAGATTCAGATTGCTAGGTTTTTTGTTTTTGAGGTGTCTGCATCTATACTCATAGTTATTACTCTATAGTTATTTTGTGATGTCTTTGTCTGGTTTTGATATCATGGTAGGACTGGCCTCAAAGAATGAATTGAGATTGCTTCATGCCTCTTCAGATTCTTGGAAGAGATTGTAAAGAATTGGTATTCTTTAACGTTTGGTAGAATTATCCTGTCAAGCTGAGACCAGGCTTTTCTTTGTGAGAAGTTTTTGATTACTAGTTCACTCTCTTTACTTGTTATAGATCTATTCAGATTTTTAAGTTCTTGTTACTTTCTAGGAATTTGTTCACTTCATCTAAGTTATCTGATTTTTTGGCATACAATTGTTCATAATATTCCCTTAAACTCCTTTTTATTTCTCTAAAGTCAGTAGTGATGTCCACTCTTAATTTCTGATTTTAATATTTGAGTCTTCTTTTCTTTCTGATTCAGTCTAGCTAAAGCCTTGTGAATTTTGGTATTTTCAAAGAACCAACTTTTGACTTTGTTGATTTTCTCTATTTTACTATTCTCCATTTCATTGATTTCTACTCTAAACTTCCTTCTGCTTGCTTTAGGTTTAGCTTGCTCTTCTTTTTCCTTCTTTAACTACTGCTTTAGCTACATCCCATAAGTTTTGGTATATTATGTATTTATTTTAATTCATATTATTTTCTAATTTCCCGTGTGATTTTTGTCTTTGATCGTTGGTTATTTGAGAATTGTTCAATTCTCACATATTTGAGTCCACTAAATTTCCTTCTGTTATTGATTTTAATTTTATTCTACTTTGGTTGGAGAACTACTTTGCTGAATTTCAGTCATTTAAAATGTATTAAGGATTGTTTTATCACCTAAAATATGGTTTCATCTCAGAAAATATTTTCTGAGAAGAATGTGTATTCTGGTGTTGCTGGGTATAGTGTTCTAAAGATATGTTAGGTCCAGTTGATTTATATTTCCTTGATAATACTCTGCTTACTCGTTCTGTTATTTAAATTAGGGAATTGAATTCTCCAGCTGCCATTGTTGAATTGTCTATTACTCGCCAGTCATTTTGCTTTACATATTTTGGGGTTTTATGGTAAGGTGCGTGTATATTTATAATTGTTATATCTTTCTGATAAAGTGATGCTTTTTAAATTATAAAATGTTCTTTATTTTTTTGTTTGTTTGTTTTAAAGTCTAATTTGTCTAATATTAATATAACCCATAGCTTTCCTATGGTGGTTGTTTTCATGATTTATCATTTCTAATCCTTTTATTTTAAATCTATTTGTATTTTTGAATCTAAAGTATGTCTTCTGTATACACATGGTTGAGTCTTGTTTATTTACTCTAGTCTGACAATCTCTACCTCTTGATTGGATTGTTTAATCCATTTATATTTAATGTTATTACTTACATAGTTAGATTTCTATTTGCATTTTACTTTTCGTTTTCTATACATGTCATGTCTTTTTTTTCCTCTGTTCTTCCTTTACTGCTTTCTTTTGCATTAGGTGAATATTTTCCAGTGTAGCATTCTGTTCCTTTTATTGAATGTTTTTCACTTTATTTTCTTACTGTTTATGTACAATATACATATGTTATTAGAATCTACTTCAGAATTACATTAATTCCAATTACATACTGTTATATAACTCCTAGATAGCTCTATTCCCCTCCCATTTGTAGTGCTAATATTTTCTTTTAAAGAGGATAAGAAAGGAGATCAAGTATATATATATAGTTTGTTATATTAACTTTCTTATTTACCACTTCAGTTTTTCTGTGTGTATATTTGAGTTATATGGTGTCACTTGCTTATTCCAATATACTTTTGTTCCTACCTGCTTTTATTGTGCTCTCATTATCAAATATGTTCTATATCTATATCTTATAGGCCCGATGAAACATTATAAACATGTTGTTTTATATGGTTGCTTTTTAAGCCACCTTAAGAGAGGTGAAGAAATATGAAATTATACTGTGTTGTATAATTATGTTATTACCTTTATCAGCCCTCTTTTCTTCCCCCATGTAGACTGAAATTCTTCCCATCTGGGGTGAGTTGCTTTCGACTTGAACTTCTCTTTGTATTTCTTATAAAGTAGGTCTCCTAGTAACAAATTCTCCCAGCTTTTGGTTATTTAGGAGTGTATTTTGCCTTCATTTTTGAAAGGGCTTTGCTCGATTGACAGTTTTTTTCTTTAGGCACTTTAAATCTGACAATTCATTGCCCACTGGATTCCATTGTTTCTGCTCATAGTTAACTATTAATCTTATTGGGTTACTTTGTGCGTGAGAAATCTCAAGATTTTCTTTGGCTTTTACTGTTTTACTGTTTGTTTCTGGTGTGGATTCTTTGAGTTTATCTTTTGAGTTTGTTGAGCTTCTTCAATATATAAGATTGTTTTCCCTCAAACTTGAGAAGTTCTCAGCCATTATTTATTTGGATATTTTTTCTGCTGCTTTCTGTCCTCCCCTTCTGATACTTTCATTATTTACATGTAGGTACATTTAATGTTGTCTTATATTTCTCTAAGGCTTTGTTCAGTTTAGTTCATTCTCTTTTCTCTCTTTTCTTCAGATTACATAATCTCTATTGGTCTTCAAGTTCATGGTTTGTTTGTTTTTTTTCTGTCACTTCATAGTTGCCGTTGAACCTCTGTAGTGAATTTTCATTTCAGTTATTGTTTTTTTAAGTCCAGAATTTTCATTTGGTTCTTTTTTAATAATTTCTCTTTTTATTAATGTTCTCCATTTGATGAGACGTTTGTTATCATGTTTTCCTTTACTTCTTTAAGTGTGGTTTCCTTTAGTTACTTGAACATGTTTAAAATAGTTGCTTTGAAGTCTGTGCCAATTTTGACATTTGAGCCCTCTCAAAGGCAGTTTCTGTTGCCTGCTTTTTTCTTACTGTGTATGGTAACTCTTTATTGTTTATTTTCATATATCATAATTTTTTGTTGAAAACTGGACGTTTTAGATAATATTTTTGTAGCAATTCTAGATGCTGATCCCCTAGTCCCTCACCCTGTGACTTGTTGGTTTTAGCTTGTTTATTTATTTAGTCTTGGCTGGACTATTTTGGTGATGTCTGTTTGCCACATAGTGTGAAACCTCTGATGTTGATCCTGAGAGGGCACAGCCTTGGGCATGTGTACAGTTACCCCGGGCTAACAGTGATTTTAGCAGGACTCTATTTCTCTGATCTCTCAGGCTGTCTACCTCTGTTGTTATCATACCCAACTCAAAGCCTCCACTAATTATCAACTGATTGCTCTCTTGTTTTTGACAATATTGTTGGGGTATAAATTGTTCCACTGTCTTATTTAATTAAATTCTAGCCCTTTTGCACAAGTAGTCTCTAAAACCAGTCTTTGAGCCTTGTTCTGACCATAGGAGGGCTCTTCTTTGCTGTCTCTGTCCCTGGTTCTCTCTGTTAAAACTTCTAGATGGTCTCTTTGTTAGCTTATTCTTCTCATAGAGCTACAAACTTCCTCTTATTTGCTTACCGTCACAGCCTTCCTTGTTTTGACAGTGCACTTAGGTATGAACTTCCTCATGATCCGTTTCAAATAAAGTCAGTTTCCTTGGGGAGAGTTTCAGAAGTCTCTGTTCTCTGCCTCCCTCAGCCCAGGGGAAATCCTGTGCACCATTACTCTAGAGCTAGGCATGAGAACAGTGGCTCATTTCTCTTAGAGTGACATCCCTGCTTTGTGAGCTAGGTGATGGGTAGGGGTGCAAGCCTCTGGTCTTCTTGGCTTATTTCTACTGGCATGGAACTGGAGCGAGGGCAATAAGGGCCCTAGTGTTTGATCTACTCTCCTAGGTTAGAGCTTCTACCTCATGAGAAAGGGCCGGGTGGAGAAACAGTTCTTACTGAGATGTAGTAGATATTCTTGAATAAATGTTACATTTCCTGTTTGCCCTCAGGACAATTTCTAGAGACTTTAGATGGTTATTTTTTAAAAAATAATTTTCACCAATTTTGGTTGTTTCAATGGGGAGCAAGTCTGCTGTGCTCATCACATTTCACACTGCTCTTCTGGAAGTCGTTTCTTCTTTATGCTTTTTACCAAAGTCACTAGAAGTTGGGACAATTTTTGAAAACAGCTTATCTGAATAACCATATAATGTCTCATTCTTTTTTACAAATAAATTTCATAGAGCTTATAAGTTCTACATGAATATATGTAGAATATATTCTACATATATTATAATTCTACATATATTATTATAATAGAATATGTTATAATTTAAGTCCAAGTTTATGGATGTGAAACCATAATATTTTTTCTTAGTATTTAGGCATACATTTCTGAGACATACATTTAGGCATACATTTCTTGTATAATTTTTATTCTTTTTCCTTTCTCTTTTCCACATGAACTTTATTATTGTCATTTGAAGTTACAGATTTTTTTTTCTAATTATGTAGTTTAATTTTCTGAAAACAAAAGTTCTTATAGCAAAATTTAAGACCTCAGGAAATAAATAGGGTCATTGACTCTTAAAATATACCCATGACCATCTTTAAATACTTTTATACCTACTAGAATAAAATCATAAAGTTTTTACATTAAGTAAAGAGAATATCTATGTCATTTTGTATATCTGTGTAACAATAGGTACTATTTAATTAATTTCCACTTACTGTTCCCTTGCTCTCTAGATTTTTATGAACCCTCTCTTCTGCCATTAATTGGATACTTTAAGTTTGCTCTGCTGTTACAAAGTGGACACTGAGAAGCAATTATTTTCTGTATGTGATTCAGTGTCTCTCCTTTAAACTTATGATTCATGTTGTTAACTCCTGCCTCCATTCTGTGGTCTCAGAAATGTAATGTTTTTCAGATGCTTGAATGTGAAAATGCTTTTGGACAACTTTGATTCTTAATTTGTTGGATGGGAGATTTTTCACCTTATCTTCATTTAGCCCAAGCTCAGCCCATCAGGCCTCTTTGACACCTGTCCCACCTCCCTTTCTTCCTGACAGATGTAAGGGTGAGATTCTAAGGTATATCTGTACTTTGACTCAATTTTCTACATCTGTCTAAAGCTCTGTTTGCTATGGAGACTCCTGATCCTCCCTTAAGCTTTAACACACATTTTTATTCCCTATTCTTGGATTTCCACTTTTTCAAATTATCCTCACAGGTGTGACTGCAGTTCATATATTTTAGAAGTATACAGAAGTAACTCAAAATACTAGGCTTTGGTGTCAAGAAGATTAACAGCCATGAAGAGATTACTATAAAATATTGTTAATGGATATCTGTAATGACTGCTTATTGTAAAAAAAAAAAAAAAAAAAAAAAACACAAAAAACAAAAAAAACCCCACTAATAACAAAAGTAAAGGTCTCCCTATAATTCAACCCCCAAATATAAACACTATCAAAGTAATATAACTTTTTGTATACTTTTTGTTGTAGCCCCTGTAGGAGCCTGTGGTGTACTGGCACCTCCTATGGGAACAGCAGCAAGTTCCAGGGCTGTCCTGTTTACTGTAGGATCTCCTCCACACAGTGCCACGGCCCCTACTTGTGCCCATATGGTCCTTCGAACAAGAACAACCTCAGGTGAATTGTCTTATTACAGTCTTTGGCTAGTGTTTGGAGTGTAGTGGTCTGAGAATGACTTAATTATATAACTTAGACAAGTCACTTGACCTCTCTGGACATCAGTTTCTTTTTTTCAATGACATGGAGATAACTATTTTCTTTACCTTAAAGGGTTATAAGGAGTTAATCAGGCAATATTTGTTGAATAAAAAACTTTATGAAATAAAAGTACTATATTATA